AAAAAATATATACAGTGATTGAAAAACTAAGATGTTCTTTTAAAGCTGGTCTTTGGTTTTCTGTTAGTATTTGAAAAGACAAATCTTAATTTTCAGAAATGGCAATGATCTATAAGCGTAGATTTGGATATAAATGAAAAACAACAAAATTTAATCTGTGACAAAAATGGACTTGGTGGAAAAGAAAGAATATGCTTGCACACTGTGAAACAAGTGTTCACATTACTATTGAAGAACAACGTTTGCCTCCCTTGCAAGTGCAAAGCCTGAGTTCAAACCCCAGTACTGCAAAAACAAAACAAAACAAAACAAAACAAAGCTAATAAGAAATATCATCTTCATCTATCACATTAATGGTTACAGCAGAATTTTACAAAACCCAGGTGGAAAGGAAATACCTTACTCTATTAGAGTGATCATTAATGGAACAAACCATTTACAAGAAAATGTATCAATATTTATCTAAACTAAAATGATGTACTTTCACATCAACAGTTCCATTTCATCCTGGCAAAAGTGTGCTAAGACATAAACATACACACCTATATACAAAGTTTTTGAAACAGAAAAAACAGAAATGTTTATTAATAAGAATTTTCTAAAACAATAGACATGTATGATGCAATCACTACAAAGATACACTGATATGAACACCCAAAATGCATAGTGTGGGAAGAGCAAGTTATAGAAAATTATGAACACTGTAGCCTAATATTTGTTAAATACACAGGCAAATTTGTGTCCATATTGTAGGAAACTTGTGCAATTATACACATGAAACTGTAATAAGAAAATATTAATGGTAGAGAGAGGGCAGAAAACTTAGTTTTTTCCACTTTGTATTATTTTGCCATGAGCAACAATGGCTTTATAAGAATAAAAATATATTTGGGACTAATATAAAATAAAGGTTTATACAAACATTTTAATTTTTTAGAAAATTATTAGAATGTGCAATAATTCTAATCATGTTGTGATTGCTTTTTCAACCCTATCTCAAATCAGATAGTAAAAAAGCTAACGTCTGTAACAAATTAAGCAGTTCTCTTTTTTCTCATAGGAAATATAATGCCTCTAAGACTTTACTAAGATCTTAGTGCTTTCTAACTGTATGGTAATCTGAGAGTATGTGGAAGGCTGTGGATTTGTGACATCCCAAACAGTACCATACCTTGTGGCTACACCTTGTTTTTTTTGTTTCTAAAAGGAACTCAGATGAAAGGGTAGAGGCAGAAGGTTGGCAATAGGTCAAACAGGCATTGAAGTACAAGTGATCTTGGTTCCCATGAAAACCAGTGTCCTTGGTGGAATCAGAAAGAAAAGAATTTTAGGTTTTTTTTACCTTATCCCTTCCCTCCTTTGGTTTTCTCTTTTACTCCTTCCTTCTCTCCCTTATATGAAGAGAAGAGAAAATTTTTGGACTTTCTAAATTTATTAATGGGATTTATTGATGGTGTTTCGCTGTCAAATTATAAACCACCCCATGCCAAATTTAAAGTTATCAAACTATCGGTATTATGTACAGAATGATTGTGTTGAAATAAGCCTGGTAGCTTTACAGAAGATTATATGATTTTATGTACTCTAAGATGAAGAATCAAGCTGTTGAGCCCAAACATCAATCTTGAACTCAGGGTTGAGAATTCTTACAAAATTGCAGTGCTTGTTAAATTAAAAGGGAACCACTATTTACTATATATAGGGATTTAGTAAGAACTGTCCAAAAATAACCTTTCAGTGAGAATTGTAGTTATCAGATAACTAGTCTAAAAAGCACATTTAAAATGCACTATTGTTCTCTTCAGCTAACATGTAGAATCACCACAGAACTCATGATGAAAACAAAATACTAGCAGAAAGAAAAACATTCTGTTTTTCCATTGCTTTGAATCTGACAAAAATTTAGAAGTAGGATCATTGTCAACATGTATATCCAAAGAAACAGAGAATGATGGGGAGCATTTCCAAAGGCTTAAAAGAACTTCACTTGATGTGTTTCCAAACAAACGGTCCTTTGCAAAAAGAAAAATGCATTCACCCATGCTAGCTAACCAGATGAATCAGAAACTAATCAAATTCACCTTCAATCAGTACCAATTATGCTCAATAGTCACTGCAACACTTTTCAACATTCTATTGTATTAGTGTACCAAGTTCATGATTGTTCCATGACGAAGTTTACCACCCTTAAAATATCTAGTCACAAAATAGATCTGTCTTCTTTCAGAAGTGGTTAGATGCCATCTAAAGTTTTCTTTTCCTTTGCCAACAGCAAATATATAGAAAAATTTCAGGAGTCATTATCTTTCACTACTACTACATTATCAATAAAAATCAGAATTTTGGAAGTATTACCAATTTTATGACCTTCTATTCTTTTTTTCTTATACCCATATTGGCTATTATTTTCCTATGATTCATCTTTGTGTATAGACCAACAATTAGTTATCCTGAATGGAGAAACACACACATTATATGTATTTATCTTGCTCCAAAGTTCAATGTTGAAGGTTCTTTTCCTTCTTTCCTCCTTTCTTTAATTCTTTTTCTACCTTCCTTCCTTTTTTTCTTTCTCATTCATTCCCTCTTGTTTTCATTGTGATATTGAAGATTGAACCGAGGACCTCATGTATTCTATGCAAGTCCTCCACCACTGAGATGTATCCCCCAGTCCCCAAGGCTTTTTTTCATAACAAAATCAATCTTTATGTGCTCAATAATCCTCAGAGTTTAAAAATATCTTTATATCATTTGGTGATCTGTTAATAAATGTTTTCTTTCTTCTAATAATATTGAATTTATCTACAATAAACCCAGCACTTGGCTTTATTCTCTATCCAAATTTATTTTTAAAAAAGCAATTGTCACATAAAAGCAGATATCTTTTCCAATAACTTTGGAATGTAGCCCTCTACTTAATTAAGGAAACTGGTTTTATAAGACACTTGAGAGTGTAGAGATACAGTCTATATTCAACAAACTAAATCTGTATAATTTTGAAGCCAGTTCCTCATTCCTTAGTACTGTGTGAATTAGCATGCTAGATTTCTGTTCTTACAGCACTGTAATTTTTACACTATATATTAATAATATACTCTATGGAAAAATTTTGGTTTGGGTTCTATTGTCCCTATCACTAAGCTTTTCCTGTTCTTCCATTTGCTTGATCAGAATGGAAATGCATTTTGCTTCTGCAAATCTAATCATATATAAAAAGATGTGATTTGTATAAAATATTTCTCTCAAGACTATTATTCCACTTAGTGGCCCATTTTGTTACCAGGTATCTGCCAAAGTCTGTAATCTAACCAAGCTACAAACACCTTCCAATGATCACTGAAATGTATAACCTTTTAAACTACTTTTAAGGCCAAACACCTTCCACATACTGTATCATACAACTTTTTCAAGAACCATAAAGGAATATATTATTGAGTTTTTTTGAAACAGAAGCTGAACCAGGTTAATTCTCATAGCTTCCTATGACAATAAGTGTTAGAATCTAGTATCTTCCCTCACAATTGTTCAATTCCAAAATCCATTTTTTTCCAATTTGCTTTGCTGCCTCCATTCTTTCTAAGTCCTGATCACTGCTTACTCTGACAGCTATTATTTGATTCTAAGTAAACTAGTTCATATATAAAGTCATTTTCAAGTCATGTCAATTTGTTTTTTTTTTTAATACCTAACTTACAAAGATATAACTTTGACAATGGAATCATAATTGGAGTGGAAAATCAAGGATGCAGTGGAGGAAAAGGCCAGCATTGGTCTAAGAGTTGTCAAGTTGTGAAAAGTGGTCATGACCACTTCCATGTTTAAAATCTTTTAGTGAGTCCAATTGGCTTTCATTTGTTCAACAAATATATAATGGGCATCTCCCAAGTCCCATGTACTGTTTATACATATATATAATATATTGTATATATATATATTTATGTATATAGTTGCAAGTAAAACATGCCAAACACTGTTTCCACGAAGCTTAACAGTACAGGGAGGTGAAAGTAAGAATAAATAGATCATGTAGTGATATGTGTCAGTGAAGAAAAATAGGAAAGTCTAAAAATTTGAGACTGCCTTCATTGTAAAGTCACAGTTTCTTAGCATGGATTATAAAGGCTTTCATCATTTGGCCATCATTTACTTTACACCACTCAAATAAACCCGCTCCATGTCCCATCCTTCTGAAGTTCTTTATCTTTCATACTACCTAGCATCTATTTAACCTTTAAGGCAAATTTCATATCATCTTTGTCAGAAAGTGCTCACATCCCAAATTGTAATTTGCATGCCAGAACAATATAAAATTATCACAGCATTCACAACCCACTATGTTGTAATTTTCCATTTTCAATGTCTATAATCTTCAAATGTACAGCAGATTCACTGATGGCAAGAAGTAGCTGCTTCATCTTGAATCTGTGACTCTTAATATCAACCCTACTAGAGAATAGGCACTCCATAAATGTTTATGGTGGATGAGAATGGCCAAGTGAATAGATGCTTAGATGAAATGAGGCATATTAGGTGTACAAGATTAGAACTTGTACATTAATAATGAAAATTTGAATACTTCACAAATGTGAATTCTGAACACATATTAAATCATGCATAAGAATAGAGAGGATGCTCATTTTTAAAATTTTTTCTTCTCTAGAAATTACAGTTGGACAAATTTTCAACATGAAATAGCTAAAACCCATATTTTTCTGAGACAAAAAGAGTGATATTCCATGACAAAAGACAGAGCTTTTCACCCAAACGTTTTCTTGACATATTTTTCTACAAATGACAAAACCACTAATAAAGACATTCATTAACAGTAGCTCGGTTTTATTCAAATCTGGACTATTCTCAGAAGAATACTAATCCTTCAAGTGTTACAGACTTAGCAACCAATCTTTGATGGAAGAATGTGCACTTTGCTTTGGAAACACAAATTCTTAATGATTAATTTCGAGTTCCCTTTAGTAATATGATGCTCATTTTTGGATTTTCTAGCTCCCAAGAACCTGTATCAAATATTTCAAATGCTGTGAAGACAGAGAGAGAAGTAAGAGGCTCCCACGTAGATCTTTCCAAGGAACACACGGAGACACTATGGCACATGACTTGGTTACTTGAGTGCTATTACTGCCAGAGGTAGAATGGTTATCCATTTGATATATTTTGGTGTGTATGTAGAATATGCCTCGGAATTTATGCAGACATCTTTAACACATATTTTCTCCACAGGAATTTCTTTTGCATCAAGTCTCTCCTGGCAACTCAAGTTGGTATAACAGCCGCAATGGAATTTCTCACTAAAGTAGTTCAGGTCTTCAATTGTAGGTTTTCCATTTACTGCCAACTTTCCATCTTCTTTAACTTTAATAACAAAATTCCTTCCATTTAAATGAAGATAGTCATTTGAGTTCCAATTTTTCCTTTTACACACACCTTGATTCTGGCAAAGCGCATAGCTACACAATCTGGCTGCTAGGGTGACATTGATTAAGTAAGGATTCAATGTAGTCTCCAAAAAACCATTTAGGCGCTGGCAAGATTGCTATAAAGTTACAAGATGGTCAGAAAATCAAGTCACAGGTTAGTTCATATATGAATTAGTTCATTGCAAAAAGCCCCGTTTTTGGTAATATTGAAACTAAAACTGAGGGCCTCACACTTACTAGGAAAGTGCTCTACCATTTTACCATTTGAAACACACTCCCAGTTCCTTGTTTTGTTTTGCTTTAGAATGCTTCTCAAACAGAGTTTAATTCTATTGCCAAGGCCATGGGTCCATTTGCCCCAATTGGAGTCCCAATTTCATTAATAAATAGCTGTATGAATTTGAAGATGTCTCAAGCCTTCTAAATCTTACTCATATCTGAGTGACCTTGGACAGATTAATCAAATTAGCAATGCTTTAATTTTACTGTAACCTTTAAAATGAAGATAATTTTGGAGTATCCCTCATCAAGTTGTTTTGAAGGTGAAGAGATATGATGTATATTAAAATGCTTAATCCAGGGCCTAGAATATCTTCAGTTAATCCATAATAAATCGTAAGTAAATGTAGTAAGGATCACATTTATCTGGCAAGTTTAAAAGAGTGTTGAAAAAGGTTTTCAAAGTCAATGGCTTGAAATAACTAAAAAGATCCAGCTGAGTGTATTTAATATTAAATATCGTATATAGCCAAATTATGTGTACATGATGACAGTTCTTTTACAAATTTGGCAAGGAAGGAGAGATGAGTAGCTGAAATGATTTTTCTTGAGACTGGTGCATTCTAAAACCTGGTATTGGCTTTAAAAACAGAACTGAAGATGTTCCTTTGTTTCATGATTAACAATTCTACCAGTGAGTTGACTATACTACCCCTTGGGCAGACCAAAGGCGGTAATGGTGGTATATTATTAGAAAGATAAGGAATCTTAGAAGCTCCTACTTGAATTGATTTCTTGTCACCTTATTTGAGGTGATGCCCTCAACTGTTGACATGAAAACAGACTCCCTGATATCCACACCCTAATCCCCAGGAACCAGTGACAATTTTAGCTTACATGACCAAAGGAATTTGTAGGTATGATTGAGAGCATGTTCCTTGAGATGAGGAAATTATCCTGAATTATGTGCAAGGACCCAATCTAATTATACAAATCCTTGAAAGTAGAAAAGTATACAAACTTTTCCAGGTGGGTTAGATATCTGAGACAGAAGAAGAAAGAGAAATTGAAGTGTAAAAGGAACTTAAGACACCACTGCTCTTTGAAGACAGAAGATGGTCAAGAACTAAAGAATGTAGGCACATCTATAGGATGGAAATGACCTTTAGTTAACAGTTAGTCAGATAATAGAAATCTCGCTGCTACAACCACAAGGACCTGAATCTGCCAATAACCCAAGTGGGTAAGTGAAGATTCTCTTCTAGAAGGAATGCAGCTTGCTTAATATTAGCCTGTGGTGACCTCTGTGTTGGACCTCTGACCTACAGAACTGTAAGATGGTACATTTGTGTTGTTTAAACCAAGTTTGTTGTAACTTTTATGGAAGCAATAAACAAACTAAAACACCATCTGTCCTCTTAACTCTCCAACAGTATTATATAGTTTAGAATGAAACTCCACTTCTTGACTTGAATACCATCTGATATGAATAACCCTTCCTTTTGCACAGCCTCCCATACCCATGCTCTTTAGACACAGTAGTTGTCTCAGTAGCATGGCGTGTTCATTTTAAACTCCACTATCGTTCCCTCTGCTTGAAATACTCTTTCCTCCAATTTTTAACATGGTTGACTCCCTGTTGTTATTCTGATTGTGCTTTACTTAGACAGTGCCCTTATCAGATATTGTCCTTGTAGACTCACAACCCTGTATTAGTTCTCTGTATAGTACATGTAACACCAAATACTTTTCTCATTTATTTATTTTTTGATGTTATTGGGGTTTAAACACAGAACTTCCTGCTTGCTAGACAGGACTCACACCCTGTATTAATTCTCTGTAAAGTATTTATCACATCAAATATTTTTCTCAGTTTTGCTTTTTGTTTGTTGGTTTCTTTTTGTTTTCTTTTTTAGTAGAACTGGTGTTTGCACACAGGCCTTCATGCTTGCTAGGCAGATGCTCTACCATTTGAGCTACATCTCTAGCTGGTTTTTCTCAGGTCACTTTTGAGATTAGATCTTATTTTTGCCCAGGCTGGTCTGGACCAAGATCCTCCTCGTTTAGGCTTCCTGTCTTGCTGGGATTACAGGGCTGTACCACTATGCTGGCTTTTTTCTGTTGAGACAGAGTCTCATGAACTTTGTTCTTCCCACACTAGCTTGGAACCATAATCCTTCTGATGTTAACCTCCAAAATAAGCATGGGAACATGTCTGCCATAAGTTGAGATGGACGTCTAGAACTGTGACCCTCCCAGACTCAGCCTTGCAATTAGCTAGGATTATAGGCATAAGATACTGGCAGCTGGCTCTCACTTATGTATTTTTAAAGCACTCATTAGCTACAAGAGTACATAGACTCTGTCAATATTCTTCAGCAATATATACCCAGAAACTAGGATATTTGAGAATGTGTAACAAATGAGATGGTATTCAAGCTGCATGTGGAGAGACAAGAGTTAGACAAAAAGAAGACTAAAAGGATGAAAATGATTTGAGAGTCGATACTTTACATAATATGTAGCAAATGAAAATGGAAGTGTGTATGTGCCACTGTATACAAACTCCAATCATGGCCAACATGAACACCTCTGAATACAGAATTGGGGACTGAGTATGCCACCATTGCACAGTATGGCATGTGATGTGGATCCTTAGCTTTTATAGAGTATTTTCATTTCTACAGCCACAGTAGATATAAACAATCTCAAGTGCATGGCTGATATGAAGTAAGTAAAACAACTAATAAATTTTGAATGTCTATTACCTTTATTTTAACATAATTTTTGTATTTCATGTCTTTATAGTTTAATTTTTAATAAAGGCTAAGTTTGGTAATTGACTCACAAAATTCCGAAATATTTAACAATCAAGTCTCACAAGCTGGGAGCTGTGGAGTTGGCTTCATCACACAACTGGATGTAATGAAATGGAGCATGAGAGAATAGTTGACTTCACACTTGCTTTAAGTCAGTTCTAACAACTTCCTATGCATCTGCAAAAACCACTTTCTCATGTTCCCAGTGAATCGGAGGAAACATGGCAGGTGATTGGTGGGTTTATTGATTACAAACAACATAGAATAAGGAAAAGAAATGATAGTAGTATGTTAAAAATGATCATGAATCAAGAAAGTAGCAGGAATATATAGATCAGAATCTATAAGGGACAGCATTGAGACCAAGCCACTAAATAGAAAACAGTCATATTAAAGTTGAAGGAGTATTCCTGAATGAAACTATAACTGAAGATGATTTGAGATGCATGGTAAATGAACATGAGCCTGAGATTAAAGTGATATTAAAAAACAAATGTGACACTTAACTAGTATATCACATCATCCTACTCATTGGAGAATGTCTGATTCATTCCTCAGCTCTTTTATTTTGTTAAAAAAAAAGTAGTGTGGAAAATATATGAATGGTTCCATCATAGAATTAATAATATCCTTGAAAATCTAAGTTATGAATTGAGAAAAACAGCAAATAACATTTGAAATATACTTTGGAAAATAAAAGGTTTTAGATACTTTTCTGACACAGAAAAGTTTATCAAGAAACATAAACCTTCAACTGAATTTCTATTTTCTGTTATTTTACTTTTAGTGGAGATTAAACCCAAGACAATATAATTATACAAAATAAGAAGGGCTAACACTACCTTGAAAGAATTTCACAAATGTGACTTCCTTAAGTTCTTATGAATGAAATAAGAATATTGCTATTCTACCTAAAAGACAGAGAGAGATTGTAAAACTTCTCAAAATGTCTCTCCTGGTCTTAAGAATATAAACTTCATTCTCTACAGATCCTAGGGTAAGACTCCTCAGCAATGAGCTTCATTTAACTTTCTCCACATTTTCACTAGTATTACCATGTCTATCACAGAAAGAAAAGTTCAGCTCCAATTTAGCCTTTCCTTTGATCAAGAGGATTGAAGAAGTGGGAATAAAGACCTGATATGGAGAATTAGACACAGATGAAAATAGAAACCTCCTGACAACAGACACCATGGCAGAAAACTGAAAATTGTAGTGTTGGTTTTGCTGCTCACAAGCCATCTATGCTAAAGAACTTCAGCTATCTCAGTGAATTTGATTCCTCAGTATAAAGCAGGTACAATATTTTCTGCCTTACTACCCAACTAAACAAATGCAAGATATTTTGATTCAGCCAATATTATGTACCTACTACTATGTGACAGTTGAAAAACATTAAAGGTAGAAATATTTTCCTCTATTTTCTACCAATTCAACTTACCTCACTTTGTGATAAAGCAAGAGTTCCCCATACTACAATTCCAGATGCACCCAGAGCAACAGTTTCACCAACTTTATGCACAAGATCTTCCTGCAAATTTGATAGAAAGAATTAGCACAGAAAAATCATAAAGTGCTCTACAAAAAACAGTAAGACCAAAGCTAAGCATACTGATTGAACAATAATTTAAATATTTCTCCACTATATACATCTTTTGCACAGTTATTTCCCTAGCATACAAAATAGACTATTATTGTTTTAAAACCTTCTTTTGACAAGAAAGCACTCTTATAAAAAGAAGAGAAAAAGAACCAGAGTTAATAAATTGTCTCTACCTTGTAACTCTCCAAGGCTACTAAGAGATTACATGATTACATTAAGGATTCAAATATTCTGCACTTATGTACAAATGTGCATTTTCCTAAATGAAATAAAAAGCCAGATTTCACTTCTTTCAAAGTATTAAACTTCCCTAAACAAAATTGGTGAGCACTATTTCATAGCTGTCATATTTTTATTTACTTACCGCATTTATGAATTCCATAGTTTGATCAGTATAAACCAGGCGAATGTATGCAAAAACCGGAAGTGGGTTTTTAGCATCACGCACTTTAGAAACCCTAATTGCTTCCTGTATACGATTACGGACAAACAATGCAGCTTGGTGAGATGACTTTAATATATATTTCAAATAAATTGATGGATAAAGGGCCAGGCTTTCCTTCCATAGCCAATCGAGGTCATTATTTCTTTGTATTTCTATACTAGGGCAGCCTCCATTGTAACTGGCATTTTTATAATACTCATGGTTGTAACAATCAGGAAAAAGATAAAAACCCCATAAGTGCATTGGCCGAAGTCTGATTCCCAATTTTAAAGTCTTTTCCATAAAATTCCTTGCTGCAACTGCAAATTCTGTTTCAGCTTGCTTGGTGGCTTCTTCAACATTAAGATTTGCATTCTTTTGCTGAACCAACTCAATAGACTTAGATTTATAAATATGTTTTCCATTCCAGTTTCTTATCCAGGTTGGTCTCCACTCTTCCCAGTCAATGATAGCCAAGCCTAACTTGTCTGTGGGCATGTAATGCAAAATGTCTTGCTCAGCTTTGGTCAAATGATCTTCTAAGGACATCACCTGGGGGAGTCCTCCATGCACAACCTTTTCTGAACCATTCATGTAAGGATAGTAGCCAAGTCTATCAGTATAAAATATAGTAACATTTTTCCCTGTTTCACTTTTTCGGGGGCTTCCTATTAAAGAGAAGAGGCTCATATCAAGTGGCTTCTTTAACTTTTCTTTACACAATTCAGTTGGGGCATTCCAAGCCAAGAGGAAAGTCACATTTGGTAAAATAGGGGGTGCCCGGACATCTTCAGTCAAGCAACATGGAATCAGAAGCAATATGAACACTGTCTGGTATACTACCTTGCATGGAATGAAGCTCCCAAAAGAGAGGTTCTTGATATTTAGTACTCCCATTGCAAAGAATAATGACTATGAAAAACAATTACTTCTGCTCACATACTTTGGTTTACGCAGTAGTTGACTTAAAAAAGGAGCATAGAAGAGAGTGTAATGAAGTTACTTTGATGGGTAAAGAGGTATAGTGATTATATTACATTTAAATTTATTCTTCTTGCTTTGTGCTTCAGGAATGTTTTGGAAGTTGCATCATCTATAACTGAAAAAACAAGAAATATAGAATATACTGTTACGCATTATTACTGCATTCAAGATTGCAAAATTTGCCTAGTTCTCAACTTTATGTGCAGGAAGTTTCATTCAATTTTAGAAGATAAAAAAAGTACTATTGTGAATAAATAATTATAATTATTTTACCTATAATACAAATTCTAAAATAACCTTTATCTTATATTCCCATATCATTTCTGAGCCTGCAGAGGGATGAATTAAACAGTTTTCCCTCTTGCTTAACCAGGTGTACAGAATGCTTTACCAATGCCTTAGCAAAACTCAAATTGAGTGAAAATATGTTCCATGTCAAATCTCTCATTCTTATTTACTGCTTCTTGAAAAGCTACTTTAGAAATGACAAGTACTAAACATGATCTCATAGAATTGTAAAATTTTCTCGGTTCATAACTCATTGTTTTTGTTTTGGGTATAATAGTATACCCCTAAGCTACATCCCCAATCCACTTTGCTTTTCTTTCTTACTTTCTTTTTTCTCTTTCTTTCTTTTTCTTTCTTTCTTTCTTTCTCATTCTCTCTTTCTCTAGCCCTACCTTTTTTCCTTCCTTCCTTCCTTCCTTCCTTCCTTCGAACTGCAAGCGTCTCTAATCTCTGCCTCCTAAGTAGCTAGGATTATAGCCATGAACACCAGTGCCCAGCCGCTTCTGTTCTTGAAAACTACTGGATCAAATGTCTTAAGAGTAACTCTTTGGACAAAGCCTCAGGTCCAGAATTGGGACAGATTCAGAAGCTTCCATCTACAATAACATCTTCCTTTTATTTAAAGCATTAGCTAGACAAACTATAAGTTGAAGTATACAAAAACATAAGCACATGCTTGAGGAATTAAGGAAAGTTCAGATCTATGAAAACATAAGCATATTTTATGAGCAGCCATTATGTATTTTTGGACTAATCTTCTTTCATCCAACTATTATACACTTTGTCAAATGAGAAGTGGAAGCAAAATAAAATTTAATGCTAAAAATTAGTTTTCCAGAATAGATTTGAAACTCAGTTGCTTTTTTTCCACTGGCAGAGGTGGACTGACCATCAATCTCCCTACTCGTTACATATCAGGATGCTTAAAAAAGTGATCTTGTTTTAATTTTTGGAAGGGGAGCTGATGATTGGTTTTTTAAAAAAAAAATAAACTTAAAGCTGTGTATTTTAGGCATACAAAACGACGTTAGGGGAAGGTGTGAATTTTTGAGGAAAGTTGGGTCAGAAAATGTCCAACAAAAGGAGCCAAATTTCTTCACTCTTCTTTTTTACAACAAATTCTTTATTTCTATGACAAATGCTTTCTCTAGGGAATTATAAATTATTATGTAGATACAACAAACTTAGAAGTTAATCACACCACTGTCTCTAGAATGTATCTTCTTAGTATACCTCCTTTATGTGAAGCAGGGTAGACCATAGAAAAGACTAGGAATCTTAAACATATATGAGTTAATATTTATTTCACATTGAACATTTTGTCTCTCTCTGAGCCAACTTTTCAACTGCAAATATGTGCAGATTACTCATCTTCTAGCCTGCAATTGTCTAAATCCCTCATCACTGGCCAGTTGTTGTTGATCAAGACCTGCTCAGGTTTTTACCTCATGTACTAGAGTGATCTTTTAACAACTCTTATAACAGCTTCTGCAGCTGTGGTGGAAACAGAACATAATTCTACTATATTCTGATTACTCAATAAGTTTATCCTATTGTGCTATGATGTAATTAGGAAATCATATACCTTAGAAGCTAGAAAACTGCCTGATTAAACATGAATTCTCATTTTTTAGCAAATTTTTGATGTTATAAAAATAGTCCTTTTTTTTTGGAATGCATGATAAATACCAAGGATCTTTTCTTGAAAATAAGAAATAATTCACTTTGTTCTTGGAAGAGAATTTCTTTTGAATGGCATTGTCTACTAAAACATTTTTGTGGACCTCAGAACTTATGAACGTGCATAATATACATTCAATTGTATGATCAGGACATTGTTCAATTTTCAGAGCTAATCAATGGATACTCAATAGATACATACTGAGTTAGTTATTTAAATGAATGAATGTGATATGAATTGGATTTCAGTAGTCTCAAAATTATAGCCAATGATAACACATTAAAATGAAAATGTTCAAACAGAAACTGAAGCATGCCAATCAGATGCCATGGACCTGTAGAAAAAGAAACAATAACACACGCACACACACCCCACAAACTAGCTGAATAGTAGTTAATTGTCTTAAAAAAAAACAGTAATTATTCAGAAGAACTTTGCAATAGGGGAAAGGAAAACTCAGTGTAGACCAGTCTTGCTTCTCAGATTACAGTGGCTCAGCTGCCCAGTACCAGTAAGCAAGGGAAATTGGCATCAAGTCAAGTCAAAGTTTAGGGGTATTGAACAAATACCATTCACATTACCAGAGCATGGCATGATGAAGTTCACAAAAGCATAATTGCCAATTACAGATTAAAAAAAGGAAAAGAGAGAATTTTATATCTAGTGGTAGGGTGAAGGTAAGTGGATGGAAAACTACTAAAATGAAACATCGGGGTAGGGCAGCATTCTTGCTAAGTCTCAACAGGATTTTTGTGAAGACAGACCAATGTGATAACACCTGAGATATGTTGGAACATCATGAGTCCAACACACACCAGAGTGATCTGATATGGATGATTGGGAACTCTTGGCAAACTGGCATAATAGGATGTATGCTAGAAATGGAATCTGCAGGGATGAACACATATACAGTGTTTGAAACTTAGTCACAAAAAAGGTACAGATTAGAGTTCCTCGAGGACAGAATCTTGGTCAGTCTTCCATCTCCTGCATGCCACCTGAGTTAGTTAATGAAATAAATGACCTCAATGACTTTGAATAGCAGTAAATTTAAAATGCTGACACTTCAAAATAAAAATGTTCAAATAAAAACTGACATATATCATCCAAAAGCCGAGAGCTCAAGCATTATTCAGAAGACAAGTGCCTCTACTACAACCAAACATGAGGCTGACACACCAGACATGACTGAGTTAAGTAATTGAATAAAGGCTTGAAGTCCTCTAAATTCATGATGCTAATTATAAACACAATACCTTTTCTAGGATAGCTCACTCAATGACACTTGCCAAACCCCAGGCTGAGCTCAGTGCTGCTTGACTTTGTCAGTCATCTCATCACCATACCATATTAACCTAAGACCAATCTGATTTCTGGGATACAGAGCTGGCTTCAGTGGCCTAGCACTAGTAGGCAAGATGGCTTGGTACCAAGTCAAGCCAAAGATAATGAAAAAACAGCAAACACCTTTGTTATTAATGGTGCATTACACAATGAAGTTCACAAGAGTAACACGGCCATAACATGGGCTATGAGGCCCCAAACCGATTAGAAATAACTGCTTGTTGTTTCTCTTCCATTCACCAGTCACACGAATTTTGCTTTTCTCTGAATGGCAAATATTATGAGTTCTTAGCCCAAAAACAAGTATCAAAGAAATATTCACCAGAAATACTGAATTTAACAAAGTAGAGATGTTTTGAATGTGCATCTCCTTTAAAGAATGTGGGTCAAATTAAAAGAGAGAGATGGGAAAAGAAAGATTCTGAAAAAATCATTTCAAATTTTAGAAACTTCATAAAAATCATGCAGTAGCTTCCCTTATCAGTGGTTTAGCTTTCTACAGTTACCTATAATCCTAAAATAGTAAGTGGATAATTTAAAAATAAACAATTCATAGTTTTTAAATAACTTTAAGTATAGTACCTTATTGTAATTATTCTACATTATTCTATTTATTGTTGTTAATGTCCTACTATGCCTAACTTATAAATAAATTTTATCATAAGTATGTGTGTATAAGAAAATGGTACATACTACATAGGGTTCTATCATTGGTTTTATACATTTATAGAACAACTTAGAATTTATCCTCCAATGATAAGAGGGAACTACTGTATTTATGGTTAAATTAGCCCATTATCCTCTAGCAATAGATTGTGACCTATTTGCCACAAAATAAACTTAATGTTTGCAATGAGAATTTTTTAAAACAACTAAAATAGATTGTAATTGAGTAGAATAGAGTAGTATTGTACAAGACAGGACAGGACATGACAGAAGAAGACAAGATGGGTAGAATAGGATAGGATGGGGTGGGATGGGATGGGATGGGATGGGATGGGATAGGATGGGATGGGATGGGATGGGATAGGATGGGATAGGATAGGACAGAAAACATCAGAATGCATGGAAGTTAATAAGGGTATTATTTTATGAACCTTTTATATCAATTATTGTGTGTCAAGAAAACAAAATAGCTGTTTTTCCATCTGTTCTTACACCAAAATCAACAGAGAAGACTTCTATGACCTCAAAAGGAAAGGGAACTTCTCTCCACCAGCAAGCAAGCGATAAATTCTGCAAAGGACACCAGCTGGGTGTCCTGTAATCTAATTCTAGCATAATTTAGATAGCATCAGATTCCGTAGGTTTCAGCTTAGTTCCCAAGACTGCCTCTTCCATTCAGTTTACAGTCATAAACCACAGGTTGTTTTATCTGTGCTTTTTGACCAATCAGCTATTAATTGGACTTAACACAACCCCATCCTTTGGCTTCATTTTCTTGAACAGATTACATAACTCATAGTGGATGTGATCATAATTGATATTAAAAAGGACAGAGATGGAGAGATGCATAGGATGAGCGATGGGTGAAGGGATGCAGAGCTTCTATATCTTCCATACCCTCTTCAGGTGAAGCACCACTCTAGGATTCTCTGCA